ATGATACTAGTAAACGTCAACGCAGCGAAGTACTTTCGGTAGAAGGGCTTGAACGCAAACCTTAATCAATTTGTTCAATCAAAAATCCAAAGCGGTGATGAGGATGAGATTATTAAATGTCGAGTGGGTGGGTGCAAACTGTCAGTGATAATTGATTTCGGATCCCGCTATAACCTAATAAACTCAAAGGACTGGTCACATCTTCCGATGAATAAAGCAACTGTATTCAATTTTCGGCTGCAAGTAATTGGCGTTTTCAAAGGTCCTATATCAATAAATCAAAATCCCGAGGTGTGTGCTTCACTTTTCGTAACCAAAAACGAAACGCAGTCACTACTCGAACAGGACACAGCACTCAACGTCATGGGCTCGAAGATAGGAAAATATAAAAATTAACTCCATTTCCAAAGTGGAAAGGATTACTGGTGAAGTTATCCATAAATTCAAATGTTAAGCCAGTTCAGCAACTGATAAGGCGAATAGCAATTGCACTGGAGGATAAAGTAACATCAAAATTGGATGAAGATCTTGCTCTTGATATCATTGAACCAGTAACAGGCCATCCTCCCTGGATATCGGCCATGGTGATTGCATTTAAAGAAAATGGTGACGTCAGAATATGCATAGACATGAGGCTGGCAAATAAAGCAATGTTGAGGGAGAGTTACCCACTACCAGTATTCGACACCTTTATGACCAATTTGAAGGGCGAAAAATATTTCACACGACTAGACCTGAAGAGTACATATCACCAGTTAGAGTTACATGAGAGAAGCAGGAGTACCACTTTCAGTACCCCACTCGGGGTGTACTTGGCGTTAACTCTGCTCCTGAAATTTTTCGAAGAAGACTTGAGGATCTCTTAGCATCATGTAATAATGTGATGAGCTACATAACATGTGAGAAGGACCATGACGAAGCAGTTCAGAAAGTCAAAGATGACCTCAGGAAAAGTAACGTTCACCGGGGTGGAGCTAAAATGGAAACTTCTGAAAAAAGAGTACACCCTATCTCAGGTGATCGATGTACGAAATAATGCGCTCAAAGTCAAAAGCCGAAACAATAAGGAAAATCTTTGAAATGCATGTGAACCCAAATAATCGACTTGAATCTGGAAGATGAAGTCGTAATGGTCACAACAACAGCAGCCCATCATGTCCAGCCATCAATCAAAAGTACAATAAGTACACACGGATTGTCCATTTTGCAATTAAGACAAATACAAAACGACAACGATCCTATAATCGTTATGATACTAGTAAACGTCAACGCAGCGAAGTACGTTCGGTAGAAGATGGGATTGAACGCAAACCTCAATCAAATTGCTCAATCAAAAATCCAAAGTGATGATGATGACGATGAGTATATTAAATGTCGAGTGGGTGGGCGCGAACTGATTAAATCAGATTAAGTGAAGCTTTACTGATTAAATCGCTCTTTCTATCAACCACTTATGATTAACCTGGGTAGAATTAAATTAACCTGATTAATCACAAAATTTCACGAGATTAGGTCGAGCCATTTCCGAGGAGTATAATGACTTACACCGTTACATGAGAATTTTGGATTTATTATATAATGATAATACTGCGTATTTAATTCATTGTATTGATTGACGCCCTAAAAAGTTATTTTAAAAAAGTGGATGTGTGAACGCCCTCAACGCCCCAAGAAACGTAAAAAATCAAATATATATGCCACTTTTTAAGGTTGACCTTCCCATTTTAATTGGTTACATTTTTATATATGTACCCTTGCAGACGGAATTATAATTAAGGCCAAAAGTGTGCAATGCTCCGCCCGAAGTTAGCTGTCCTTTCTTGTTTTGTATAGCTCTGTAAAGTACATTTTTATTTTTATACCCTTGCAGAGGGTATTATAAATTTGGTCAAAAGTGTGCAACGCAGTGAAGGAGACATCTCCGACCCTATAAAGTATATATATTTTTGATTGGGATCATCTCCTGAGTAGATATAAGTGTGTCCGTCTGTCCGTCTGTCTGTTTCTACTCAAACTAATCTCTCAGTTTTAAAGCTATTGACTTGAAACTTTGCACACACCCCTCTTTCCTTTGCACGCAGTACATAAGTCGAAACGACCGGGATATCCTATAGCTGCCATATAACTGATTGATCGGGAATGACCCAACTTTCATGTTTTTGAAGATACAAAGCTGGAACTTAGTACAGATTATATTTTTAGTCAGTTAATCCGACCTACCAAATTTCATAACGGTCGACCGCCTGTATCTTATAGCTGTCATATAACTGAACGATCGGAAATGGTTTTTGGTAGGAATACCTACGTTGGTATTTTTGAAGATAGAAGTTTGGGACTTTTTTTAGATTTTGTGTTATAATAAATTAGGTTATATTATCATATTCTCATAAGGATCGGCCAACTATATCCGATGTTTGCGATATATATTAACTGCAAGGGTATATCAACTTCGGCTCCGCCCGAAGTTAGCCTTTCTTCCTTTTTTTTTTATTGTTTTGAGTTACAGAATAAGTGGTTTTTGACTGTGAACCTCATTTTCGTGCTCTTTTATCGACGACTTAAATTAACCCCTTTCCCTTTTTTTTGGCATTGTTGACTGTAGAGCCTTTCAAAATCATGGTATTAATGATATTTTTCATAAATTTCCTAATTACTAATCGTGGACCATTTCACAGTGTATATACATACACCACTGGAAATAGCGTCGGAAAGTGTGTGTTTAGGTGAGGGGCAGTGGTGCCGCTCAGCTGTGGATGAGAGCGCATCCGCTCTGAAGAGCGCACCCGCGCTGAAGAGCGCACCCGCGCTGAAGAGCGCATCCGCACTCGCCCCTCTGTGCACTCTCTCACTCGTTGGTTGTCGTCGATCGTCTTTTTTTTGTACTAGTTAAGTTTAAATCCTCTGTAAGCAGACAAATAAAGCTGAACGCGTTCCTTCTGAATTTATGAAAAGACGCCCCCGGCTTCTTACTTCAATACATTTCTGGGATCTTTTGCGGCAGCAACGCCCCCTTACAACTTTTTGGTCCTTCGAGACGGATATTTTGGATATTTTCTACCAGCAGTCCAGGCATTGTTCCGTCAAAGATAAGTACGACATTTTTACCGTCTCCGTCTCTTTGCCGGTTTTCAGCAGTGGTCCGAACATTAAATTTCGTTCACACTGCTGCAAGATTTGTTGTTTTTTCTACGTGTCAACTCCAAGTCCGAGTTTTCTGACACCATGGCACCTTGAATTTTTCTAAAAAAAAAAAAAAAACACTACAAAATTTTCCATCCATCTCCGTTTTGTGTGCCTCGCCATATTCCTCGCGAATTTTGGCCTCTCCGTTATCCATTCGCTCGCCAACCGTCGAGGCATATATGCATCCACATATATACACACATACATATATTTTTTTCGGTGCAATTAATCCGCAAAGAGAAAAAAAAATCCGCAAGTGAACAGTGAAATTGTGTGGTGACAAAAAGGGCATATTTAATATTGGCCAGCCGGTGTGAAGTGGTTCCGGTAATTTCCAAGTTCACCGAACAGAAATTATATTATTATTATTGGTGTTTTTATAGCTAGAGAATTGAGATGGCAAGATTGGTTAAAATGCGATTTTTGGCAAAATAATACGACATCCCAAATTTTATAAGGATCGGTCGACTAAATCCTATAGCTGCCACATAGCTGAACAATCGGAAATGACCCAACTTTCGTGTTTTGATAGATATAAACTTGGAACTTTGTACAGATTCTATTTTTGGTCAGTTGATCCGACCCGACAAATTTCATTAGGATCGGCCGACTATATCTTATAGCTGCCATATAACTGAACGATCGGAAATGGTATTTGGTAAAAACAGTTTGGTGTTTTTGAAGATAGAAGCTTGGGACTTTCTTTAGATTTTGTTTTGTAATGAATTGATTATATTATGATATTCTCATAAGGATCGGCCAACTATATCCGATTTTTGCGATATATATCGGGTTTTAACTGCAAGGGTATATCAACTTCGGCTCCGGCCGAAGTAAGCTTTCCTTCTTGTTTTTATTTACTATCAACATTTTACTGCTCCTAATGTCATTTCATTACAACTTTCAATAACATAGTGCGACCAAAAAAATATTTTGAGGAACTTTTAAAGTGTATGTTGGGATCAGGGGCGAGGTTGCTACACGATTCCTTTATTCATACTCAAATCAATGATGTGTGGCGCGCGCTAAAAAACTTCGTCCGTTTCCCTCACGTAGCTAGCTTGACCTAGCGATATTCCGCCATTTGACAAATATCGAATAGCTTAACATCTAGCATTTTTCAAAACTAGCTTTAAACATTATTCAACCCTAATTTTAACGTTTTCATTATTCAAATATAAACTTAAATCTATGACGGCGGTAACATTCCCTCCCCCGTAATTAATCCCGATACGTGGTCAGTTACCATTCACCAAGCCGACGTCCAGAACTCCTACCTTTGTTGCTGATCTTTCCATAACGCCATGCTGCGTCTTGATGGTCACGCGTCGAACTTGTCCATCCTTGGCCATCCATGAGCACGTCGTTGTCGTAGATGAGCTCTACGTAATCAGTTACGCGTCCTTTTAACCACAGGTTCCTATGGAGAAGCTCATCTACGACTACGAGGTGCTTTCGATGGTGATTGGTACCTTCTCAAGCCATTTGGTGCGCCTGGTTAATACGAACGCATAGATTTATCCTCTCTATGGGCAGCGGCTTATATTCGCTCGCTGATCCTAGCAGCAGGTGGTTTGGAGTCAGGTCGGCGTCATCCTCGGAATCCAAACTTACGAACGTGAGAGATCGCGAGTTGATAATAAATTGTACCTTCATCAATGCGTATGTCAGCCCCTCGTCGTTGAAAGAGCAACTTGAGCAAATGTTCTTCAAGATTCCTTTAGTTCTCCGGACGAGTCTCTCCCATGCTCCACCCATGTGCGTCTGACAGGCGAACAAAGCCACCTACCTTTCTATTTGCGCCGGCCGTTCACCAATTACGGGCCAAAATAGTCAACGCCTGTATAGGTGAACGGCCTCTCGAAGTTTCCAACTCTTGCCCTCGGGATCGGTGCCATATGGGGTGGTCTGGGAACTGCTCTATTAATCTTGCATCGTTGGCATGTGTTTCGCACAGATTTGTGCAGTACTCGTAGCCGGCTGATATAAGATGAATTTTTAATGTCGTTTATTATAGTCTCATGAGCGAGGTGGTGATACTTTTCGTGGAAGCTCCTAACTATGAGGTTGGTTATCCGGCATCCATGAGCTAGTGTGATGGCGTCCTCAGCTATGTCAACTGCGTTCAATCTGCCTCTTGTTCGTAGTACTCTATCGATGTCCAGGTATGCGTTCAATCCGGCTAATCTGCTTCCCTTGGGGAGCGCCGTTCCCGCGGATAACGTTTTTAGTTCTGCTGCGAAGGCGATGGATTGAGATTGCTTGTATAGCAGCATCTTTGCCTTGCTCACATGAGCCTTTGTCGCGGTTGCTGGCATGTCTCGTCCGGCACATTTCGCTTGCAGCCGATCAGTAAACAGGAGTACTAGCGCCACAGCTCTGTATAACCGCCGCCAATTTGAGAAATCGTTCGCGTTGAACATAACCACTGATTTCGTATGCGTCGTCATCACATGCTTCCGGATCTCCGAGGTATCGATGATGCTCTCCTGCTTCTTGGATATTGGCCAGTTGCTCGCATCGTTCTTCAGGAACTGCGGGTCCGTTATCCACGTCTCTTGTTGGGTTTGCCCGGTGACCTTGGTAGCTCCATCTGTTACGTTCAACTTTGAAGGAATCCACCGCCATAGCTCGACCAGTGTTGTTTCCAGAATTTCGGTGACTCTGTGCATCACGAACTGATGAAAGTTGCGGGGGTCCATAGTTAGGTTGCGTGTGCTCATCATCTTGTGGGCTAAGCGTGCTCCCATAACTGGTGCCTGCAGCTCCATACGCGGAATCGAACGTGGTTTTAAAGGTACCACCTTAGATTTCGCTATCACCAGAGATACGACGACTCTGTCATCCGTTGCCACGCGCAAGTAGCAGACTGTAGAATACGCTTGCTCGCTGGCGTCGACGAATGTATGGAGCCCAATTTGACATGGCTCCGATTTGGCTGCGGAAAAGCATCTAGGGACCTCGAAAGTCCTTATTTTTTACAAAATGGTTTTCCATTGGCGCCATTCGTCTAGCATTCTCTCAGGTAGCTCCTGATCCCATTCAATTTTTTGCCGCCATATAAACTGGAGGAGTATTTTTAGTCGAATCGTTTGGCATGATAATAATCCCAATGAATCGAAGATCGACATCAGAACTTGTAATACTTCTCGCTTGGTAGGGACTGCGTTTTCCGCCAGCACATCACGCTTCAGTCTTGAAAATCTGCAGATAAATTTGAACATATAATTATGTGGGTCCCAGGACATACCAAGTATCTTTTCTGTTCAACAAAAATTCACGGGCTTTTGGCTTCCAACGTTGGCATTATCCTGCAAGCTTTCAAGTACTTCTTCCGAATTCGACGACCAGTTACGGATCTCGAATGTACTTCTGCGATGTACTTCCATTACTTGTGTGGTGATCTGGATCGCTCGATGCTCATGCTATCGATGAAGTCGTCAACGTAGTGCGCCCTTTGGATGGCTTTTAGGGCCAATGGGAACTGTTCTTGGTGGGTTTCCGCGTTCTTGTCTCGAATAAAGTGCGCTATAAACGGCGCGCAGCTAATCCCAAAAGTCATAACTCAAATGACACAGGGGTCTATTTTGTCGCTGCCTTTGTCGTACCACAAAAATCGGTGCGCCTGCATATCTTCCTCGCGAATGTTAATCCTGTGAAACATTTCCGCAATGTCACCACAAATCGCTATTTTGTTGACCCGAAAGGCTAGTAAGACGACTATAAGTGGGTTCAGGCAATCTGGTCCCCTGAGTAAGTAGTCATTTAGCGCGAATCCGTGAGCCTTTGCGGCTGCATCCTATACGAGCCTTATCTTTTTGGCTTTTTTGATTCAGCGCTATAAATATCGGCAAAACCATGTACGGCTGTTCTCCCGGCTGGTCCTCGGAAGAATCCTCGGATAGCTTATCCGCGTATCCTTTGTCTAGGAGGTTCCTGATTTGGGCGTCAATCTTTTCGAACAGATCGGGTTTCTGAGAGACTTTTTTCCTCATGCAGGCAAGGCGCTTCAGAGCGTTACCCCGGCTCTCAGGGAGTTTGTCCACCGCGCCACGGAAGTCCAACTTCATATTTTCCGGACTTCTTTTAGCAGGTGCTTTCCAGAATCTTCACTGCCAGCTTATCTTCAGCTGAGTATAGCTTTCGTGGTACGAGTGCATCAAGGTTGAAATGTTCCTTGATGTTGTCATGAAATACTTGCCAGTCGCAGTCGCAGTGGTGCATGAAAATGGATCGTTGTGGGTTCGCCGATTCTTGGATGCTCCATCCTAGCATGCACTACGATGCTTTCGGCTCCTTCCATTTTCCTTCGCGGATCTTGCGAGGGACTGCCAGCTTTCAGTTATTTGTTCCGATTAGCAAAGTCGGCTGGGCAGAGTAGGACTGTAGCGGCAAGTCTCTCAAATGCTGGAATCTATCGTATAGCTCTTTCATATTGACTGTCTGTCTCGGTAATGATAGGTTCAACCAGTAAACCTTATCGCAGTTCATTTCCGAGATTTGGACGGATGCTTTTACGGATCCACTCTCAAATCGAGTCGTCTCTCCGGTCCACTGCAAACACATTGGCGCTGCCTGGCCTTGTATTCTCAGTCTTTGGAATTCCAATGCATCTGCTAAGGTCACGGATGATTCTTCATCTAGAACGGTCTGTCTTGACCGATTGTGTTGGGAACATATTCTGTATGAAGTAACTTATAGTGTCTCCTTGTACAGCCATTAATTAAACAGTTCCCGGTTCGGCATCTATTCCGGTGCACCTTGAGGAAGCAGAAACAGGCTTCGTTTTTCGTTTAAACCGTTTTTTCGAAATAAATCAAGATTTGAGGGTGTAGGAAAAATTTCAAACATGGTTTTATACTATACTCGACCTAATGAACAATTCCTACTAGGTCTCTTCAAAAGTTCTAAATCACTGTCGCACTGTGTAATTTGTTATTGTAATTGCCTTTGCCGATGCTGGGAGCAACACACGTATATGAAATTTCATTTCCCATATGAAACAGCAATTCCAACAACAAAGGAGCACCGAGGGCAATGGGCATCACTGGCTTAGAGTCTTGACAGTCGATCCGATAAACAAAAGCATGAAAATTTAAATCGTGATGGAGAGTAAAACTTATCTTAAATAAAATATGAATTAAATTAGTAGTTTAGAGTATGTTATAAATATAATGTTAAATAACATTTAAATTTCCTAAAAAACTATTAATGAAAATTCCTAAACTTAAATTGGTAATGAAAATGTAAAAATAATGTTAAAACAAAGTAGGTTCAATAGATATTTAAAAAATTGTTTTCGTTTTTTAGGATTTTGACAATTCAGTGAAGACTTACTTGATCTGTATGAGTTATCTTTCAGCGACTTCCACCTGCTTAACCATATATCGGTTAAAGTTCTTACAAAGCTGATGATTAAAACTAAGCGTCTGAATAATTTCTTGTTCCTGTTGATGGCTTCCTGCGCCATCTGCAAAGGGTGAGGTTTCGTGGGGGATGATGGATGCTGTTGATCGCTCGTGTTTGCTAATGTGTAGGGGGCTGCTGGCGCACCACTATAGAAAATTTGACCATTTTTTGGCCATTTTTAAAATAAGATCAAAAACCATTTTTTTAAGTAAGATCATTAAAATAATTTTAAGTGCAAAGAATCATCAATGGCGTCAATAGATGACGGCACTTTAACGTTATGGGCTTTCAAAGACAGCCATTCCGATAGCCAAGAAAATGAATGTGAAATAAATAAATGTGAGTGAATCGACCTTCTTATCGGAGCCAGTCTGTTTTATGAGCTGCTGTGTGTTTGGCAAATTAAGCTATCAGCCGGCCTGCCATTGCTGCAGAGAACCTGACTTGGATGGGTCGTGTGTGGAGACGGTTTATATGTCCAGAGATCCAGAGAAGATCACTCGTTTTCACTGCTCCCAAGGATGTTCCGAAGAGCGTAACTATGCTGGATTATCTACTCCGCCGGTTTTGGGAAATCGAAGACTGCTCCGAGCCTATTGTGAAGCGGACAAAGGAGGAGCTTGATTGCGATGCGAATTTCATGCAACATGTTGCTCGGCTGGATTCCGGCGCTTACGCTGTGAGGCTTCCGTTAAAATGCGGTTCTAAGTTGCAGGGAGAATCTTACCCCCAAGCCGTTCGACGGTTTCTTTCCCTCGAAAGGAAGCTCTGTTGCCGTCCTCAATTGAAGGAGCAATATACTGCCTTCATAAAGGAGTATTTGGAGTTGGGTCACATGTTTCCAGTCCCTGCTGATGCGAGCGTCACTGGCCAATACCTGCCACACCATTATGTTTTAAAGGGAGGACAGTTTAACAACCAAGCTCAGGGTTGTTTTTGATGGATCTGCTGTCACCACTTCTGGATATTCATTGAATGACGTGTGGATGTCTGGCCCAGTTATTCAGCCAAAGTTACTGCATATTCTATTAAGGTTCCGATGCCATCGGGTGGCCATTACTGGAGATATTTGTAAAATGTATCGTTGCGTCATGGTTTTTCCTGAGGACAGCTATCTTAAGTGTATTCTTTGGCGGGATTCCACCCAGGATGAGTTACAGTTAAGCTGGATACTGTCACCTATGGACCGAAGCCTGCCTCATTTTTAGCAGTTCGGACAATGCATGAATTGGCAGATGATGAGCCATTAATGTTTCCAAAGGGGACCGAAATTCTGCGTCGCGACTTTTATGTGGACTGATCGCTTGCTATTTTCTTTTGAAGGGATTCAGTCAATCTCAAATCCCACTAGGCGCATCGTTCTTTCTTCAGTCGCTGGGCTTTATGACCCATTAGGCCTTGTCGGTCCTGTAATTTCAAAGGCGAAGATCTTTCTCCAGAAACTGTGCCGGGAGAAGTTGTCCTGGGATGAAAGTCTTCCTCACGCTCTTCACTGCGACTGGAATATGATTTGTAGCAGCTTTGTTAGAACGCAGCGCACCGAATTTCTTAAATGGGCGCTCGAAGTCCATGGTGGAGATCCATGGATTCTGTGACGCCAACATTGAGGCGTATGGGGCATGCGTTTATGTCGTGTCCAAGGGCGCAGGATTTGCAAGATATTTACTCTCTTCGAAGTCCCGAGTTGCGCCGTTAAAGACTGTAACAGTGCCGAAGCTGGAGTTATCGGGAGCCGAGTTGTTGGCTCGACTTATATCGGAAGTAGCACAGTTGAAGGTCTACGTTGGAAAGTATTTTTGCTGGTGCGATTCTGCTGTGGCTCTGTCTTGGATTCGAGAAGAACCCTCTCGATTTAATGTTTTCGTCCCCAATCGAGTTCAGAAGCTAACTAGAGAAATGGAGTGGCGGTATGTTCCCACTTGCTTGAACCCAGCAGACATCCCGTCGCGTGGTGCTCTTCCCAATGAATTGGTTAAGAATAAGCTGTGGTCTCACGGTCCTCCGTTTCTCATTGGATCTCAAGAGGCGTGGCCAACCGCGGTCTCATCTGAGAGATTGACTCTGGAGTTACGTGCAAGGCTCCTGCTTTTTCAGTCTCCGTACGTGGATATAACAGCGGTTTCTAAGTATGCTAATTTGTTTCCAGCGCTGCAGAGGGTATTCGCTTACGTATACAAGCTTTCTAAATGAATTCGCCACAACGGTGTCACGGCAAGCACTATAAAATCTGGAACACAGCTGTAATTGCGACTAGTTCAGCATGTGCATTTTTGGGAGGACATAAAGGCGCTTCAAAATGGAAAAGAGATCCATCCAGCGGCATCCAGTGCTCTTGCCTCATCCTCTCCCTTCTTGGATAAAT